GCGCGCGCAAATCATGAGGCATGTGAGCTTGCAGTGGCGTTCTTTTTGCCGTGTTCGAGCATGTGCATCTGCTAGTATCAGCATGTGTGTGCGTGCATGCGAGTTTGTTGGTGCTGGAAAAGTGTGTGAGTGCTTCTTCACCACAGTGCTTCCCCCGGTCCACAGGTTCGCACTAGTAAGTCCACCTTGACTCATACGTTGTTGGAAGTTGAACCATTTTTCCCAACAGGAGGATGAATTCTAAACATTTTTTTAATACTACCCTCCCCTCCCCTCTTTTTGCTCTTCCACGACGAGGGGCCAAATCTCTTCAGCATTTCCAGCCCTGTGAGCTAATTTGACAGCTCACGGGGGTGACGCTGATTCCACTTCGCAGAGACAGGTACCCTAGGGCTAGCCAGCTGGATCGCAGCGGATGCTTACAGATTTGGCTTTAGCTTCATGCTGGGTGTCATCTGTCTCTTTGGTCTGGCGCGGGATAATTTTTGTGTGTAAGTGTGTGTGTGTGTGCATGTGTTTCTGCCCTGACATCATGTGCCTGAGCAGTTTGTGCCTGGCAGGCCTTGTCTGTCCAGGTTGGCCATCAAACACAGCTAGCATGGCCCTAATCTGACGAGGCACTGCTCCAAACATGCCACAGCAGCCTGAGAAGTGTGTGCATGTGTGTGTATGCGAGTATGAGTGCATGTTTGAGTTTGTGTGCGTGACCCCAGGGCAAACCCCCATTTTTCTACTCTTTGCCTTTCTCCTGAGTCCCACGTCCAATATCACCCAGCACACACACACACACACACACACACACGCAACTGAAGAAAAACTTCAAAAACCATCAAGTGGAGCTGAGTCGATTCTTCCCCTAAACCTCACAGTTTAAACTCCTCCTCTGCTCAAGTTGTAGTGTGTGTATGCATGTGTGTTATTTAAATCTGTGTGTGTGTGTGTGTGTGTGTGTGTGTGTGTGTGTGTGTGTGTGTGTGTGTGTGTGTGTGTGTGTGTGTTCGAAATGCCTCCGACTGGAGAAGTGATTTGGTCCTCAACAAATGGAGAGATACCTTTGTCCAGTTCTCCCTCCACGCTACATCTGTCACTTTGATTGTGGACACTTTGCAGGAAGCTCTGCCTCAACAGGTTTGGAGCCTCCCACAGCCTGTTGCCCTTGCTCGACCCCTTCACTGCCTCTTGGAAATAGAGGCGATCCCTACCCGTGCTCGGACGGGAGAGGACAGGGGGACAGCCCCCCATGGGAGAAATGACAGTGCAGTTTCCGTTAATCTCTGGGACGAGTCCCGAAATGGCAGCAGGAGCCTGCTGCAAATGCTAATCGCGGCCGACACACTGGTCGCCCCCTATCTACACACACACTTCCAGTCCCTGAATGCTTCAGTGCCAATCTCCAGCTGGAAGGAAAAGAGGCAGGCACTGCAAGATGCATCTGACAATGTTCGGTTTGATTTTACTGCAAAAGAGAAAAGAAAAATCTTCTCCTTCCCTGAAAAGCGCAGAATGATGACTACATATGTTGATTTTCAGCCTGTAAGCCATGTACTGCCACTGTGCCTTCTCATCAGGCCACGGGACAGCGTGACAGCGGGGCAGTGTCATACTGCACACTGGCTTGTGACTTCTAAGTGCCACTGCATACATCTCCTAAGTGTTTTTATTTGGTTCTTTACCTTCCTGCTCTACTCCAGTCTTGCACTGCACTGACTGTCGCACGTCTTCTCCACGGTGGACAGCTCTGAAGCATTCCACCTCCGAGCAAGCAGTGGCACAAGAGAGTGGTGGCGCCTGGACGAATGACCTGCTTTCTGCCCATGAACTGAGAGAGAGAGAGAGCAGCATTCAGTGGAAACAGGGTCTGGTTATGGAGAGAGAGAAAGGAAGAAGCACACATAGGTGGGCTGCTGGGCAGCAGGTCCTCTCCTATAACCCTCCACCACCCCCGTCTTCATTCCAGCCCAGAGGCCTTAGCATCTAGTGAGTAGCACCCCCCCCCCTTCCCTTCTCCCTTTCCCATCAACCGCAGCCCCACCTGTTCAGAACTGTGTTGCAGTCAGTGGCATACAGCATGTTGTGAACACAAAGCAGCGGCCCCGCGGCCCTCCGCCTGGACCTCGGTGTCAAGACCCAACCAAGCTGAGAGAGAGAGACAGAGCGAGAGAAAACATGAGAAGGAGAGAGAATGGAGAGCAGCTAAGTGCAGGATAATTATACCCAGTGGGTAATGCGAGCACCGTTGTTACAGGGCCAGTGTGGTTGGTCCGGGAAAGAGAGAGAGAGACACAGAGGCAAGAGCGTCACCGGGGCGAGAGCTCGCAGGGCCAGTGGGCATGTTTGGTAAACCACACTCACAGACGTCCCACTGCACCGCTGAAGCACCGTTAGTGGAAGTGCTGCAGGAGATCATCTGGATACTGGCAAGCGTGCACTCACAGGAGGAGAAACACTGCTGCTGCTTCAGCCCTGCTTACTCTACACAATAATATGGAATACTTCAGCATCATAATAGAATATATAATATAATACTGAAGTGTAAAAAAAATGACATTTATATTAATTCCCGAATTTAGTGTTATTGTATTTAAATGAATGATTATATTGAAGAAACACAATAATACATAAATACCTGATGGAAAGAGTATAATAATGTTTGATCTACTGATCTCCCTGCAATAGAATTCACTGTATTTGTCATTTACTGCTCAAAAGATTTGTGTGAAACGGCTCAACAATGTAAAAATGCTATAAATAATAACAGCTGGTTACTTTTAACCTGTGTTGAATAACCTCAAGTCCTGACATATTATTTAAAGTTTTACAAGACTGCAACTTTGCCTCTTCTTTTTTTTCTTTTTCTTTTTTAAGTGACAATTTTGGAGAGTGTCCCAGAAAGACTTTGTGCTCTGCGCTGACTGGAGTGTCAAATAAAAAAGCAGAATTCCCTTAATAGACCTGTGAGACAGAAACACAGGGAAACCTGATCGTGCACTGAGCTCTCGCATGCAAACTGCGGCCCGGCGTCGCAGATAATGATGCAGAAGGACACATATTTCCTCGTTATGTTGATGCTGGCTGGGCTCTCCAAATTCTTTATTGTCGTAGCTTTGGACACGTTTTTGTTTACTGGGTATGATGGAACTTTTTTCCGTGCTATCTACAGAAATGACCTCCAAACTCCAACATGTGAAATCTACATTAAACTACTAATAAAGTTAAATTATTAAAAAATGTTTTGTTTTGTTTTTTTTACTGACTCCGAAAATCCAAAATCATTATATTAATGAATATAATTGAATCTGCTTTGGTTGCTCTGTTTATGTTTTTCTGTCATATGCTTGACTTATTAGGTGATATTTTAATCTAAACATAAAATATATATATATAAAATCTGAAAATACAGCCTCTCCACCATTCGCCGAGCTGATCTTAATGTTTTTAATTTCACCCTGCAGAGTCATGAATAAGTAAACAACAGGATGCACATTCCTGTCAGAGAGGCCTTTGCTGGTTCTGACATGTTTTGTTGTCACAGATCCTCTCAGCTTTTTCCCATAAACCCGAGGCGTCAGCGAAGGCCTTGTTTTTTTATCCCTCAGCTGTTGATCAATCATTTAATCTCTTTAATAGGCCCAACTCAAAACTAATGGTGCATGTAATGAGTGTTTAACTAAACAATGTGGACAGCGCTGGGACTTAAGTGGTGTCTTAATGTTTGTTTTCTCTTAACTGAGCATGACAGTCTAAGTGAATTTGGGGCTCACGAGCAAACTTATTTGCCCCCAAACAACACCTCTCCTCACTTCTGATGGAAATACTTTGCTCTTGCCACAAGTGCTGAGTTTATTAATACATTCATGCTCATATATTTGCATTTTATCAAGTGTGAAAAAAAGCATTTGCTTAGACAAGATAATTCAGGCACTGGTGTTTTTACCAGCCCTGGATTTTAATCATATGAAGGTCAGGAAAGTGGGAATGATATTTTTGGGGGGTTTTAAATTATTTTTCTACTTTCTGGTTTTTCTGCACATTTTCTTTGTGCATATCTTTTATTACAGGAGTTGTGAGCATTCTCCAAAGAATATATAAAGAATATATATCAGGATAATCTAAATAATATTTTATCAAAAAGAACTATGGCTCTCCAATTACTAGACAAACTTAGCACAAACAAATTCAATGAAGATAAGTTGATTTTTTTTTTTTTTTTTTTTTATTACAAGCATTAATAGGAGAAACTTTTGGGTTGGTCTTGAACAATTCCTCTAGCTGCTGGGTATTCTTTCTCTTAGTTAGAACACAGTTACAAATATATATTTTACTCAGTGTTTTCCACTCTCTAAGGTATATTTCTATAAATATGAATATGCTGTTAATAAATTTAACTGGGTTTAGATAGCCTGCAGGCTTTCCAGGAGGCAGATCACAGAAGGTAAATTTGGGCAGTGTCTACCCAAAAAACGGAATACAGTTTAAGAATATTAAATCCAAATGTACAAACGAGCTAAATAGATTTTTCCACAACCTGGCAACCCGTTATTTTATTTATTATTTTTTTATCACCGAGTAAAAGTATACAAGTACAGTCCTACTTAAAATCAATATTTTGACTGACTGAATTTTTATTTTATTTTGTAGTTGCTGCATAGATTTTGACATAATGAATAAATTTATATATAGCCTTTGTAACAGCCTGGCTTTTCTACTGATAAGGAACTGAGAGTCAAACAGCGATACTTACAGCCGCTTTGCTCCACCGCAGAGTAACACTGACATCTGCTGTCCACAACCAGGCACCACACACCACACAGCCTCATACACAAGCCAGAGCCACTCATTGCGAGCCTGCGGAGAAAACACGTCATTGTCCTCCAACTTAGATTCGTGCATCCACCTACAAAATTTCCAAAAAAAAATTGTAGTAGGAAGTCACAGTAACCCAACTATAACAAACCCTCACAGAATGTAAATAAAATACACCTTTAAAGATCATGAACACCCCTCTCCGCTACTTTGGTTCAGTCCAGAGCATTCCCGGAAGTAGCGTTTGTATTTTGAGTCATGTGATATGTGTTAGGATTTTGCATCGTTGTTGGTTTAAGGTTTAATAGCTAGTAGTTTTGCTATATTAACTACGTCTTCTGCTGTGAATTAGCTTAGCATTTGGAGGAAAGCTAGCAGTTGGTTAAGCTAACTAGCTGCCCCAAAGGGGAGGGATAAAAGGTAAAGGGACTCTGACAGAAGAGCTCAAAATAATGGACAAGATCGCTAAAGGTGAGTTAAACTCTTATCAGCCTCTCTCCTTGCTTTTTAAAGCACTTATTTAAAACCACCGCTGAGCTAACAAAGCACAGACAGTTGTTAAATGTGTCTGTTTTGTGTCAAGTGTGTTTGTTCCAATCTGTGCTCATCCTGCAGATGTGGGTGATATCCAGTCACGACTGCTGGACCACAGACCGGTCATCAATGCAGAGATCCGCTACTTTATGAGAGAGTTTGAGGTACACTGTGAAAGCATGACAGAGTTTGATGACTGCTCTGCATAGAGTCACTCAGCCACACACTCCTCTGTGCCAACCCCTTGAAAACCTAAAAATGTAGCCTGGCTTGTTCCAGTCCCAATTATACCTGATATCAGCGATAAACTTTCACACCATTGTGACAGAGAACCAACACGAAGTTGCAAGTAACCAAAAACAATCAAAAGAAATACAGAGACTGTTTTCACATACAGAGCCAATTAGTTTCTACTGTTTGAAGCAGAGGTGGGAATCACCAGACAGCCTATGATACGATATTATTCAGTTTTGAACCATTTTGTAATATGCTGAGTATTGCATTAACACATACTCTTATTGATTAGCTTAGCTGAGATTGTTAAGGATACAGACTCTGTTACTAGCACCTGCTGTAAATGTTGCCATAAGACAGTCAGTCTGCTATCAGCCTGTGACTGAATGGGATCAAGTTGGCAATTACTTGCAGTCTGCGTCCAATATTACAGCAAATAATTGTCATAAATGGTCAAAAGTCACATATCTGTCGCTGTCTATGCAGACAGGAATTCAAATTTAACTGTCACATCTGCACTCAGCGACCTTATTTAATTATTTATTTCTTTGTTTTAGTGGCAAAAAACCCAGCTGCTGTGTAGAGCGTGGGCTGACTTGTTGTGCTGTCGTTCAGGAAAAGCGGGGGTACAGGGAGAGCCGTCTGCTGGAGAACATCAATAAAAGTGTGCTGGAAACGAACGAGCAAATGCCACCAGCAAATTTCGAGGACATGAAACATCAGCTGTCTGACATCAATGAACGGTGTAAGTTACTCCACCCGCAGCCACACGTGAAACCTTTTTTGTTTGTTTTTTGCTGAAATCTTATTTCATAGTTCATGAATCATTCACATAATTTAGTCGTTTGCCTTAATGTGTTAAGTATTTTCATTTTTTCTTTACTTTTCTGCAGCAAATTTGTTTCTGTGTTACCTCTTCATTTGTATCCATGGAGACAAGCTCTACAGCTTCAACGTGTGTGAATGAATGTTTGGAAATCCAAGAAATAAGAAAATCTAGTCGAGGTGTAGCAGCAGAAGCTTGTTTGTATGATGTCTCCTCTGGCTGTTGCCATGGCCACTCAGAGGAGGAAGTAACATTGTAACAAACATCATAACCAGTATTCAGTTGTTATCACCGTTGTACAGACAGATGCTGTATCTGAGTTTATTCCATCCATGCTGTAGTTTACTGTGAACTTACTGTTGCTAAGATCTTGAGTCTCTAGGCATCCTTGAGAATTCAGTCTGACTCATGTGTGGAAATAATATTTTCGCACCTTCGTTTTGTTATGTCCAACAGTGGAGGCTGCTAATCACATGGTAGAGAGAGTCCAGCAGAGGGAGCTAGAGGCCCAACAGGTAAAGACACCCACCAAGGCAACTTCTAAAAAAGTTGCTTTAAAGGCATTTAGGATAGTTTGAATTTCCCCTCCTTATACAGCACAGTGCATGATTCACTTTAACATTTAAATAAATAATTTTGTTGTGTTATTTTGATTTCCTCGTGTCATGCCAGGGCACCCGTCTAAAGGCGAACATGGAGCAGCTGAAAGAAGACTGGGCCGAGTTCCTGAAGGAGCAGCAGAGATTAAAGGAGGAGGTGGATGAAGAGCACGCACGGGCTGTAGGACAACTCAGCGCTAAATACAACGAAAAGAAGAAGGAGCTGGCCAAGTTTACCCTCTGATCTGCTGATGTTCACGTGAGGATGCGAGTGCACAATGTGCCCTCTCTTATTCAGTGAATACAGTCGGTCCTGCACGCCTGCGTTACACATGCTAAACAAAACTACTGACTTTGCTCTGTGTGCTTGATGAAATATGAAAGCGTGATTAACAACTTGTTGTTTTCACAGGCCCTCAAACTCAAGCACATGGAATATGTACAGCATTTAAAAAAAGAAAAGAAAAAGCCTGGAATATGTCATTTTTAAACAAGCAGTCATTTGATTGTTCGTTGGCTGTGAGATTTTCAACATTTTAAGGTTTTTAGTGGATGCCTGCCTGAAGAGTCCTGATGGTAAATTAACATCGTGTCGAAAGCAGCCTTGAGTTTGGCACCGCGGGGAGATGTTCCGAGCACTTAAAGCGAGGTCGTTAAACGCTCGAGAAGCCCTTGTGGGCAGGTGTGCGTGAAGAAGAAACCGTCTCTCACCACCTCTGCTGTGTTTGGAACATGTGACCTCTCAATTTAGCTACAGGTCAACAAACTGTCACGATAAAAGTTTTTTGCTGAAACCGATATGCAGCAGCAGCTTATGTTGTTTTTTTCTTTCTCCTGCCATCTCAAATCGAATATTCTTATATGAAAACAAAGAAATAGTTTTTCTGGCTTTAATCTCCCTGTAGCCTTGTATGGTCGTCAGGTTTTGTGTGTAGTGTTCCTAACAAGTGTAAGTTTGAGCCTATGAGCACAATAGCATATAACTGTAGTGATATTAACTGGAAAAGAACTAAAATACTTGACCGTGACCAACATGCTCTGCTTTTAATGAAGTGTTTTGTTTTCTCGCACGGTGGCACACTTCGGGAAAGGTTAATGGATGGGTGGGTGCACTTGACACATTCTTGGCTTGGCTGAGAACAGAGTTCATCTCAAAGAACGTAGACGGAGAAATATTTAACAGAACCTCCCCTCAAACGCCTGCACTCCCTTCAAACTGCACACACACCGGACGTCTGAATAGCCACGTCTAATGATTCCACGAGGAAGCGCGCTTGGACAACAGTTCACTCATCGACTGCAGCAACGCAGCGTTTTTGTTGGAACTTTTAAGAACCGAGACCTTCCGCAGACTTGTGACATTCTGGCATTCGGCTGGCAGAGAGCCGTCCCCATTGCTCTTGTGCAAGGACCCTCTCTGTGCTTTCTGCCCGAGTCTGTGCAAGTCAGAGCAGGGCACTAAGCCGATGTTTGAGCAAAAGGCCGGCACTGCTCTGTTCAGTGCATGTCTGCATGCCGACGTATGCTTTCCCTCTGCCCCAGTACTGCAGATGTCCAACGCGGAGACAACCCATCATCAGCTGACAAGGAGTGACAGTACGGGAACGTGGCCGACCTCTGCCAGCAAGCTACCTTTTCACTGAGGTGTTTATGATCATGAGCTTACAGGCTCGGTATTTACACCTGCTGTAATGAGTTTTAATCATTGTTGTATAATGTCAGGTTAAAAAATAAAGTTAATTCAACAAAACTGCATCGTCTCTTAAACTGACTTGAATGTAAAAAGAGGTTGCAGCCCCATAAAAGTCCCGTTGGCCTTGCAGTGACAGTCTTTGAACCCAGGCCTGTGGTAACACCAGACAGTTACCACTTTATGCTGGTGGAGCTCATCATGCTTTCACTCAGGATAAATGCAATGGTGAAAATTGAAGCCCTGCACCGCATGAGTCTGGTCATACCATATATGCGATGTGGGATTTGAACTTCATACTCCAGCTAATAATCATACCCCTGGATAAAAAGAGCAGTTCTGCCTGGATTTAAACCCAGATTGCAAAGATGCTCGTGTAGATTTAAGGTCAGACGTTTGACCATTCAATTGTCCATTGCAAGATTTGCTCTTTGCTCGTTCAAACCCACACACCCAGAACATATCGGCCCGCTAACAAGGCTGAGACAGTGTGGGAAAGCTGAATTTACAGTAACTTTCTGCTGTCCCTTCCTGATTGTGCTAAAAGGCTGTTGCTGTCAATAAAAACATGCTCATTGCCAAAAGAAATGGACTTGAAGCAGTCTGGGAATTAGATCAGCAGATGTTTGCGAATAAAGGATTGCAATAACACCGGGCTTTGACATTCATGGGAATTTTTGATTTTAAGTCAAAGTACAGCCAGAAACCTCAGCACCTGTCCAAGTAACTGCTTTGTCACTGCCATCGATCAGTGTCAATGAGTAGCTTATATTTCACGCTCAGGGCTAAGGCAAACAGAATTCTTCGATCTTTTTTTACACGGAGAAGATATGCGACAAACAACATTGGCCTATTAAGTATTCCAACCTCATAGGTTGCTGGGACGGAGAGATTGTCCACAGACGAGGGCATGTGTTCCAGTAAGACGATGCCAAGTGCAGAAACTGGCTGTGCACCAGCTCAAAATCTCCCGTTACCATCCTCCTCTGTCTGCCTCTGGATCGTTGCTGGCTTGTTTTCTGTCTCCAGTGTCTATCTGAAAGCAGTGCGTTCTTCCTGTTTTGCAGGCAGAGAAGTGCTCTCTGGACATGGTGGTGCTCCTGTCCGTGCCAACATAAATGGTAAAGGAAACAGCAGCACCCAGATGGAGCTCCTTTGAGCAAGGGACGGAGAAGAGAGTGTGCTGGTGAATGCAATCTGATACAGCGTCTGAAAACGAGCTTTCCAACATCCGCTGGAACAGAATGGAATATTTCACAGGGATGACGTGCTCAGATAACACAGAGTGAGATTCACTAAGAAATGGGCTCAAATAAAAGCAAATGTCTCCAAGAATCAGTTTTCAGGATCTTGCTGTGTTTGTAAATCAGCCACTACAGAAAGCTCACAATGTCAGAGAAGGGCAAACTCTGTCATATCCAAGGAGTCTAGACTAATCTGATGTGGTGATATTGCATGTAGGGAGCAAATCTTTAGTTGTTTTGCAAACTCACCATCAGTCTACACAACAAAACTTTAAGTTGAAAGGAAATTCTTCCTTCATATCTTGAGTCTGAAGGTGCAGGCACAATTAAAACTTGCCTCATCTAGTCCAGGGGTGTCGAACTCCAGGCCTCGAGGGCCGGTGTCCTGCAAGTTTTAGATCTCACCCTGGGTCAATACACCTGAATCAAATGATTAGTTCATTACCATGCCTTTGGAGAACTTCAAGACATGTTGAGGAGGTCATTTAGCCATTTAAATCAGCTGTGTTTAATCAAGGACACATCTAAAACCTGCAGGACACCGGCCCTCGAGGTCTGGAGTTGCCCACCCCTGCTCTAGCCACATACATAAAACACAATTAGGTGGAACGTACCATCTCTATTCAAGATGGCGGGCAACATGGTGGCTTCCACAAACCGATGCCTGCTCCTTTTATTAGGGGATTAAGATGAGAACGAATCGGTTAGTTGGAAGATGTAATTACGCACTAATCAGTGTAGATTACAATATTCTTTTCTTTTAAATAACACTAAAGAGAAAAAAGAACACTCACCTCTAAAGGTGCAGATATATTTTTAAAAACAGCATGATTAGATAGATATGCAAGAGGTGTTTGAGCTTCTGCTAACAATGCATATGTGGATTTTCACTAAAGCTCTGCAAATTGATTTGTAACACATATAGACTTTTAATGAGTGAGAATCAGATTAGAAGCTTATTTGCCCATTTTCTCATGTACTGCTCTTTCTGGAACAAAATGAATGTAATGTAAACTTCAGCGAATCTTAGCGCTTGGTACAAATAAGCAATTTCTTTCTTTCAGTTTTCATTTTATTTGAGCGATGAGGGAAAAACAAGTCTGACATGAGCACAATTTCAATATTTTGTGCTGGGACAATAGAAAGTGACGAGGGAAGTTGCCCTCGCTTTCATGACAGCTTATGAGAATTTTCAGACTCTGCGGGCTCACTTTCTTTCTTTTGTGCAACATGACGGGCCCCCGTTATTCAGTCACTAAGAGGTGCGAAATGAAAATGCCAATGAACAAAAGCGCTGCGCTTCCAAGTTAATATCCTAACATAACAACACTCCAGGGAGTCGGTGATGGGTCTTGGGTGAATGGTAATTTAGGTGATAATATGAATTCTTTGGCAGTAGCAGACGTTCACCCAGCGGATCGCTAAATAAGAGCGAGAGAGCTCTCGAAGCTGCTCTATGAAATTGATATTTCTCTGAGGGGACTTTGCAAAGCATGCTGGATAGTCTCAGGCCCTGGCAGCTCTAGAAAATGAGCACTGGGTGACATAAAAAAAAGCAATAATGGAAAGAAAGGGTTTGAAAATTAAATGCCTCACCTTTCAATAAAAATGCCAGTGCTCCTTATTAGCGAGCACTGACATGCTCTCCAGAGAAGGCAGAGACTGCAATATGCTGGCTTTCATTCTGTAAAGTGAGCAAAATCAGTTTTCTTTGCACATTCTTACAGTCGTGCCTGCTTTCTCTCTTTTTGAAAGAAACTTTCACCGTGGCCATTTTTTGAGAGTCTAATTAGCTGAACTGTACATGATGTTTTGCATCTGTTCAGTTTCATCAGACAGCCGTGCTAACGCAGCAGCCTCGCGTTCCTGCCAACTCCAAGAAACACAGATAAGGCTCCAGCAACAACAAACACCTTCCTCAGTCAATCACTGGCCAAACAATAGGCAGGGATGACGGGGAGAGGGCTGTCATCAACCAGCGGCTACCAGCAGCAAGAAAGGTTGTTGTCGTCTGGATTCTTGAACCTTTGAGGAATGTCTGGCTTCAATGCCAACAACATACCTCCTGAGTGGCTTTGACTTTTCCCTGTTTTCTGTACCAAGCAGGTATTTTCCTGATCTTATCTCTCTTGGACTACACAAACAGACGCACTCTTGAGCTTTCTAGACCTGGACTTGCATGGTGTATGTTAAATTTGGGTTAAGGGTTAACCTAATATTTTATCCAGCATGACACAAACCATGACTGAACCCATAAATTTAACATGAAAGCATTTAGAGAGGTAGTCAGAAAGCTGTTTTCCTATAGTTCCACACTGGCTTTGCTTTTCAAACATTTCCATCTTTTATATACAGTCTATGGTTCCAAAGAAATACTATAGAAATAATAATGCAAAGTGTTGTAGTTCAGCATTCATTTCTGGTTCATCGCTTTCACATATGTGGTCAGATACTTTAATATTAATATCAAAACACTTTCTATACCCACTTTTAAAAATACAATGAAGATTTAGTGGGCCCTATCTGAAGTAATCCTGTTTCCGTCTGTTCACCTGTCTCCATTGCTGACCTATTGCCAGCTCATTCAAGTCTAGACTTACATCTTTCCTCCCGTAAATGTTCCTGTTTTGACGTTGTGAAATAAAGGTTATGATTTAAATCGAACCCACTGGTCATGAGAACACATTTTCTCCTTTTCTCCCAGTCCTTGATTGGTAATTTATAACTCATTGTCTGGGTATTGATTTAAGGAAATAAGTTATGGAACAGAAAGGGAAATATAAAAGAAGATTCAAGGCCCCGGTGCAGTGGGTGGAGTTCTCTGCAGTGATTGGCCTAACAGAAACACTAAAAATACACCAGTAAAACACAAACAATGAAAATAATGTGTTGTTAGTCTGTATCGGTGCTCAGTGTACTGCATTCCTGCCTTTGTGTGAACTTAAGCCATATCCCCAGGCTTGCCTGAGTTTTCATTTTCATCAATAATAGACGTACAGTAAAAAAAAAATGATATAGCTGTAAAAGTTTAAATAGTACATGAAATCAGAAACCTTTCTCAGTGAAAAGACACAACATGTGGTCTCCAGATTGC